CCTGTGTGTGGATATGCACATCTGAGTTGCAAGTCCCTGAGGAGGCCAGAGTGTCAGATCCTCCTAGAGCTGTAGTTACAGATAGTTGTGAGACATCCAGCATGAGTATTAGGAATCGAACTTGGGTCCATTTCCAGAGCAGTTTTCCTTTAATGACTGAGCCAGCCATCTCTCATTCCCCTCCCCTTTCTTTTTTTCAATAAATACAATTACATTAAATATAATTAACTGGAAAAAGAGTAATTAATTCAGTTTTTATTTCTTAGAGCCCAAGAAGTGAGCAGAATAAAAAATTTCTCATTGTCACATTTTTCTGATATTTTTTTCTTCACAAAAGAATGGAGAAGTGTGTAAGGTCCTCAGATACTTTAATATATTCATGCTCAATATATTATATGTTGTCCTAGCCTCAGCAATATCTGGAGCTGGCTAGAAAGACAAAATACTTGGTTCTCCCAAACCTACTAAATCAAAATGTTTCTTTAAGAGATCCCCTGGGAGATTTGTAAGTGCTACAGTGTCAGAAATATATTTCCAACAGGCAGGATGCAGTTAGATGGAGGCAGTACCCAGCCAGAGACTAGTAGGGAAGTGGGTGGCCTTCCAGGTGGCAAGCAACTCTCTAAGGGATCTGGTGAAGAGCCAGAGTGAATTGAAAAGACCTTAGAACTTGGGTTCAAACAAGACTGGGGAAGTAGCTCAGTTGGCAGAAGCTTGTCTCGTGTACGTGAAGTCCTGGGTTCTGTTCTCCAATACCACATAGACTGGGTTAACAGTGATACTTGTAGTCCCTACACTGAAAAGGTAGAGGCAGGAAGTTCAGAAGTTCAAGGTTTTCTTGGATAATACTGAGTCTAAGACCAACTTTGGAGATCTTATCTCAAAAAAAAAAAGAAAGAAAGAAAAGAAAGAAGGAAATCCTACTTTCTAGGTGCAAATACAAATGTAATACAGTTTTAACTTAACCTGAAAACAACCCATTGGTGGAACCCCATAAGAAAATGTACCTGTGTCCTTGACTGACCTTCCCCTGATCGTATTCATGGGAAGGGGATTTCTGCAAATGTCATCCCATTGAGGGTTAGAGCTCCCACACACAAATTTGGGGCATGAAGGGGACACAATTCATTTCATAGCAGATCCCATAATTAGTTTGTCCTTACCATCACCAAAAAAATTCTCCCCTTGGCTGTGATTCCATTTTTGTTTTTAATCTCATTCAAGACTACATTTGGCATTTAGTTTAATGTCTCTCCTTGAACAAAAATGCTATAACAAGGGGTGATAGCATATGATATGAATTGTCCTGGGAATGGAGGTGGAGTCTTTAAGGAGCAGAGAGAGGCAGGGAGCTTATATTGTGTCTTCCACACTCACTACTCAGATGTTATTGAATATGTATTTTTTTAAATGTTGAGAAGGGAGATAGATAGATAGATGATAGATAGATGAATAGATATAGATAGATGATAGATAAATATAGATAGATGATAGATGATTGATAGGTAGATAGATGATAGATAGATAGATAGATAGATAGATAGATAGATAGATAGATAAAAGAATTTGAATTTTGAATTGCAGGTGTTTGCTGCAGCAACCACTCAGTCTCCCGTCTTCCTTGATTTGGAACTGGCTTGATCTGCCACTTCATAGGACATTAGGTAATTGCAGCTTCTCTCAGATACTCCATGTCCACACAGTGCCAGAGTGCAGGATCCTCCCCATTTGCCACTTGCTTCTGTAGTTGTGTATTAGGAGCAACGTACCTAAAAAATACCTTTGAGAAAAATTTGTCCCAGTTGCTGAAATTGTAAATCTCACTGTTGTGATTGATTGTCAGCCACAGTCACTAGAATCACCCATAGATTTATTTCAACATACAGACCGAAACTCTCTAGAATACGAACAAACAGCTCTCCTTGCTCCTTGTCTAACCCCCTGAACCCTCTTCTCAATATGGCCTCCATCTTAACACAGCATAAATTCATCCACCTCTAGATCCCCTCAACGTACACTGGACATGTGAACAGACATTAGCAGAGTTCGAACAGCTCAACTGCACATTCCAAAAGTGATAAGCCCAGCCTCCATAAGTTCTTATCTGAAAAAGCCCAATGGCACCAAGAAGAATTCCATTACTTTCTGCCAGTTAAAAATCACAGGCAGAAAGACCCCATTTCTCCTCTTGGAGTAGTTACTTTAAAGAGTTTGCTGTGCCAAGTTCTTCTCTGATCCTCTGAGATGTAAGCGTTCTCTCACTCAGAACTATCTTCGCACAATTCTTGGTCTACACCTATCTCTGATGGCCCAGCCTTGATTGACAAGTGCTCTGACTCACATTGCTCCCTCTTCTATATCCAATATATCAGAAGCTCGTCTCCCCTCACATGGACCAGCCACCTCTCACCCATCTTGTCTTGTCTTGCTTTCAGTACATACCAACTATTAAAATGCCACTTGTCTTTTTCCCCCAATGAACTTTAGTTCAGTTCGCACAGGCATTCTTCCTTATTTTATAGAAACTGCCACAGGAGAGTCTCCTGGTGCAGTTAGATTTGCCCTACAGCAGTCTGTGGGATATCGGTCCCTAAAGTGGGGACAACAGCATCACTGTCACCTGGGAACTTTCATATGTTGACCCTCTCTTCCCACTGATTCTGAGACCATGGGGATGTAACTCAGCAACCTGTGTTTTCTGAAAATACTTCTATCCTCCACTCTCTCTTTTCCTTTTTCTCTTCCTCACCCACACAGCTTGCCGGGTGTCCTAGGCTGGCCCAAGGTCCTCCTGCTTAAGCCCATAAGTGAGTATGTTTGTCTACCACCACCTGAACCTCTCGTGGTAATTTTCAGGTACTAAACTTTGAGAACCACTGCTGATGTGGTTAAATGCATTCTGTATATATAATCAGGACTTGGTTAGTTGTTAACTGTGACATGAGCCTAGTTACGTCAATAAACAACCTGGAAGAATGTGTCTGCATTCTTGTTCCTGCTTTTCCCTCTTTACTCTATTTTCTCTAAAACAAGAACAGAGGGATTCTTGGTCATGAATAGTTATGGAAATCACCGTCTATCTTTGCAATCACAGCATGGATTGCTAAAGTTCAATGACAACATTGGACATTGGAAGGGAAAGTAAAATCTAGAGCCTACAAACCAGATTCATATTCTCTCCTGTTTAAAAAAAATTCCCAAGCCGGGCGGTGGTGGCGCACGCCTTTAATCCCAGCACTTGGGAGGCAGAGCCAGGCAGATCTCTGTGAGTTCGAGGCCAGCCTGGGCTACCAAGTGAGTCCCAGGACAGGCGCAAAGCTACACAAAAAATGATAGTATTTATATGATTGTTTTTCCCTTCTGCATTTACAGCTGAATATAAAGCATGCTTGGCTCCTCAGTAGGTAGCCCAGTCCATTGCCAGCATCTTCTGTGATGATGCAGCATTCTGAAAATATCTCTTACATTCTAAGAGACTGGAAATTTTGCTGGACTCCAGAGCAGTCACACACAAGACACATAGACACAGACAGAGACACACAGCATACAACAGACCGACACACATAGGGTCAGACATACACAGCCACAAATACCACTTACAAAGACAGGACAAACACACACAGCTCATATGACACACACATACATAATCAGTCAGATACTGCTTGTACACACAGCCATATACAGCACATACAGACATTTACAGACACGCATGCACAGTTCCACAGGTAGATATTACAGAGACAAAAAAAGCAGACATACATCTGGACAGATACGGGGACAAACAGATTCACAAGACAGACTTCAGACAGGTACAGATTAAGACTCTTGTAACACACTGATGGAGGGTGGAAGACACTGTGAGCATGATGAAGAGAATTCAAATCTGGACCTGCTTTGGTTAAACATCTCCAAGAGGAAGGTACTTTCCTTTCTTTCCTTAAGGTGACACAGATGTATTACTGGTAACTCAATTAATCACTAATGGGCATAATCTGTACATTCTTCCTACTACCAGAGAGCAGAAGGGATATTGGGGATGTGAGCAGTCACGGAGAGAGATAGTATGGAAAAGGACTGTGGTTCTGAACTTTGTACTCTAGCGGTCAACACACTGTACTGACTGACTTAATGTATGCCTGCATCTCATTTGCAAAACACATTCCACAGAAAGAAACCTTGTTTCTGAAAATATGTGTTTTGGGGGTAGGGATATATGAGGAAGTTCTATTTGGGGGAGATGTATTCTGTTGTTTTTCTGTGTTAAATATTTATGTAGCTTTGCAAAATACATGATATGGTAAAATAAAAGAAAAAAATAATTATTCCCACACAAGCCTACCCACAGTGTTCTTTCAAAGCACAGAGGCATAGAAAATAATCTTGAACTTCAGAAACAGATCGTAGCACAGGGCCATTTCTTTGTTTTTCTAACACTAGGATTTTTATTTTGTAACTCCCCTCAGATAGGGCAAATTAACAAAATTTGAGAGACATCATTTCTAGGAGCTATCAAAAATGTATTTTGGCCAGATGTAGTGACCTACAATTGTAATTGAAGTACTGGGGAGGATGACTCAGGAGAATCTTGAGTTTGAAGCTAGCTTGGGCTACACAGAGTTCAAGTCCAGGGTGGAATCCATAGGGACACGTGGTCTCAACAACAAAACAACATAAACACCACAAATCAATAAGACCCTGTGATGGTTTGAATGGGAATGGCCCCTATAGGCTCATATGTTTGAATGCTTGGTCCTTGGTTGGTAGAACTGTTTAGAAAGGATTAGGAGGTGTGGCCTTGTTGGCAGAGGTGTGCCACTGGGGGTGGGCTTTGAGGTTTCAAAAGTCTACACCATTCCCAGTTAGCACTCTCTGCCTTGTGCTTGTAGATAAGAATGTAAACTCTTAGCTACTGCTTTAGTGCTACATTCCTGGTCATGAATATCGTGGACTCATCCTCTGAAACTGTAAGCAAGTCCCTAGTTAAATGTTTTCTTTTGTAGGTTGCCTTGGTAAAGTATCTCTTCACAGCAATAGAACAGTGACTACTAAGACAGACCCACTTGCTCTTCAAATAATCAGAGAGTTTCTGAAATTTCCTTAATTTTCACTTACATCAATGTTTCTTTGAACTCCCTTGGGAACTCTTCAGTAACTACTCGTAAAGCTTTGACTATGGCGTGAATTACCATTGCCTCAACTGAACATTTGTACCAACAAGTCAAACCAGTCTCCCTTCCTGCCTTCCTCCCCACCCCAAAACATGTTTTATAAGGAAAAAGCAAAGGTAAGTTCAATCGGGAGGGGCAGAGGAGGGCTCCTCTTGCTGGAAGTTAATTATTTCCTTCTATTTCCTCTCCAGTGATATTATCAGCCAACCCAGAGCCATTTCTTCCATGTCCATTACTCTGTTCCATTAAGCAACAGGTGCTGTTTGCAAAAGCTTAAAAAAAAAAAAAATAGAAGCAAGCAACAGTTTTGGTTAGCAACATTTCCTAACTCCTGTCAGAGACACACCCATGAACTTTCCACATTGCATGGCAAGGTGGAAAATTCTAACCTTTTAAAAACCCCTGGTTGTCAAAAATTCATGGGTAGGAGAAAAAGCCAGAGAAGAAATCATTGCTAAGTTACTTCCTGTGTGCATATGTTCTATTTGACACACCGGCAGTGACTGCTGCCTTCTCTAAAGCTCTCACACTGCAGGTTGTGGAGATGCACTTACAGGGGGAGACGGTCAATCCTCAACAGCGGAAAGAGAAGCCAGGAGAGAAGAGTCAGACCCAGAAAACAGTAAGGCTTAGGCGGCATGAAATAAATGACAGAAATTTATGTATGTCTCTAAGGGGACAGAGAGGCAGGAGTGATTCCCTATTGAGAGGCTTTACAGTGGAGCCCCAGGTAGTGGCCACATGGCTCAGATACCCTAGTTCAGGGTACACACACACACACACACACACACACACACACACACACACACACACATGACACACGACAGTGAGACGAGAAAGCGAGACAAGAGAAAGCAGACTGAATGACAGGATGCCTATGAAGCTCTTTGGGCACCACCTCACTACTACTTTGAGAAGCAATTGACACATGATGTAAAGTCTGAAGGATAGAAGACCTTTAAATAGAGGAGAAGGGTGTTCCAGGCTGAGGGAGCAGTACAGAGTCAGAGCTGACAGTTTGGGGCTCAGCAGTGAAGCGGAGAGTGAAAGTTGCTGTGTACTTACTACAAAGAGGAGATGGAAATGAGACATGGAAAGTTACAGTAGACAAAAGTACTGGGAACTGTGTGCACCGGGCCATGGGATTCAGACGTGAAGAAAAGGTGGGTGCTTTGCCTCTCCTCCTGAGGTGTCATTACCTTCTCTATCAACCTGGTTTGGTTTTTAAAAAAAGACATATGGAAAGGAAAACCAACATGTCACAACCCACAAGGACATCTTGGTAGTACCCTGTGTCCTAATTAATGAATTGTGAAATGGCCACTGTCTCTGCTTCCCTTGACCCCTTTCTTCCCAGCCTGCTCCATCCCCACTCTGTGGATACCAGCAGCATTAACTCCATCTTCAATATATCTGACATCACCTGGGACCCCTACATCCCAGCTCTGCTATTCACTCAGCCACCGGCAGCACTGTCACCAGCGCCCCCCCACCCCCCAGAATCCCACCATCGCCATCAAGCACATGGAGGTGAACAGGAGGACATGGACGAGAAGTGGCTGAACACTGTTCTTCCCAGGAATGACATCCTTTGTCCTCGATTGAATTTTGTGGAGAAGATCCACCTTGGTAGATGGATCCAGATGGTGGCTGGTATTCTGCAGGGCCTCAACAAGTCTTTGTTAAATTGAGTTTTAATTGCTTATGAGATCTTGATTAAAATAAACTTGGCTACTTTTTGTCCTATGAATCTTCATAAGTCAATGGTTTTTTTTTTCTTCAATAATGAGATTAGGAATATCAAGAAGCAGCTGGGATATTGTCAAATTTTAGTTTAAATGTTGAATAGTTTTGATCATAACCCCCATTTAGCAATATTAAGAATAAATCAATCGGTCGGGCGGTGGTGACTCACGCCTTTAATCCCAGCACTTGGGAGGCAGAGCCAGGTGGATCTCTGTGAGTTCGAGGCCAGCCTGGGCTACCAAGCGAGTCCCAGGAAAGGCGCAAAGCTACACAGAGAAACCCTGTCTCGAAAAACAAAAAAAAAAAAAAAAAAAAAAAGAATAAATCAATCTTGTAATTTTCCAAATGTCAGTTGACCTCTCTGATCTGTGATTTCACTTTCTTCAGTTTAAGTTAGTAGAGGTCAACAAAAGTCTGTTTTGTTGCTAGAATAATTATTAAAATTTTTCATTACATGTATTTATTTATTTATTTTGTATGTTAAGATGAATGTGTGTGAACCCACATGTACATGTTGGACAACCTTTGGGAGTCCATTTGCTTCTTCCGTCATCAACTTCAGGGCTTCCGGGATCAACTTCAGGCCATCAGACTTGAAGGCAAGTGTCTGGATCCGCTGAACCATCTCACCAGGCCAAGGTGAAACTTCTTAATATGGAGACCACATACTTGTGTGTAGACACACACACACACACACACACGCACACACACACACACACACACACACACACACACACAGTTCAGTGCTATATTTTGCTCAGGATTTCTCTGAGGGTTTGGAACATGACTAAAGGAGAATCTTTCATAAAAATAATAGATCCATTTTATAAAATGTGAACAATATCGGACTTTCTCCCTTTCCCAGTTCCCAGAAAAACAATAACTATAGTCATCCATAGTACTCATGTCCTTCTACTGTGTCCAACAGCTGTCAGTACAACTTTAGGGACTGAAAATGAAGATGAGGGCATTCCTTTATGGTTTTTAGAGGGGCTGAGAATGTGGCTCAGTAGTAAGGTGCTTGCCTAGCACCTGTAAGGCCCTGAGTGTGAGCCCTAGCACCACAGAACCCATAAATACAGTTCTGGAGGTCAGACGTCTGACCCAGGTTTCTTGGGGTGAACGCAGGTGTCAACCGGGCTGTGCTCAGTGTAGAGGCTCCAGGGAGCTTCCTGTCCCTTGCTTTCCCAGCCTGGGGAAGTTGCTTACATTCTTGGGCTTGTGTTCTCCTTGATCACCTTGCAAGTCTGTGGCTTGTGACTCTGATCATTTCTCCTTAGCTTCTCTCTTTGACTCCCTTCTGCCTTCCTCTTTGACTTTATAGTCTCTTCTGATTACACTGGGATAATGCAGTGTAACCAGCTGCTGGTTATCATTTGCAGTCTAATTCCTTTTTGCCATGTAATATATAATATAGCACATTCTAAAGACTATAGTGTCTGTGCAGGGGTGCCATTATTCCTTCCCACCCACGTTCTCTCCAATCTTGATAATGCTTGCATATATGTAAATATATATATTACACACAGACACAGACACACACACACACACACACACACACACACACACACACACACACACACACACACACAATGTGTTTCTATGGATGTTCCACTCATTTAAAATGAGATGATGTGCATAAGAGGAATGGAGTCAGGCTCCACTTTCAGCTCAGCTAATAGTTAACAAGGGTACTTTGAGTATGACAAGTGCACACTAACCTCACTAAGGATGACCCTTTCCCCATTCAGGTAGCTACAGAGCTAGAGTGACAGTATCACCATATGATGACTCAGGAGTGCACCAACAAGCCGGAAAGTACAATCTGTCTTTCATGGAAGAATTAGGAGTATTCTGATGAGAACAGGGCAACCGGCTGAAATGAAGCCTGGATGTGTTCACACTTGTAACTAATTAAGTTCCAGTCGGCTGAGGTCTCTGGAAAAGAAAGAAACTGGGTTTTCCAAGTATGTATTCTAATAGTTTGTATCCTACTGGACAACTCTTTCCCCCTCCCTGGCATTCTAAGATGACACAGATGTAAAGAATGGCACATTTTTCTCCCTGCTAGTCACTTCTGAGTCATCGTCTAAGCTGGTCACAGGATTGGCTGCACAGTCTGTTCTCCAGGTAGGGAGTTGAAAACAACACGTAGTTCACGCTCTCAGGAAGTTTCAAACTGGCAAAACCAGTGTAATCAAATAAAATTAAGAAAACTATATGGATTTTATTTTGTGTGACCTAATTATAACTGTAAAGGGAGGCGTAATTATTATTTATACAGCACCTGTTCACTTTCAATCTCTTTCAGATGTACACACAGAAAGAAGGAAGGAAGGAAGGAAGGAAGGAAGGGAGGGAGGGAGGGAGGGAGGGAGGGAGGGAGGGAGGGAGGAAGGAAGGAAGGAAGGAAGGAAGGAAGGAAGGAAGGAAGGAAGAAGGAAGGACAACCATCAGGGCCTTACTTTGTAGCCCAGGCTGGCTTTAAAACTCAAGGTCATCCTCCTGCTTCAGCCTCCCAAGTGCAGTGATTATAAGGATGGGCCACTACCTCTTTCTTTCTATTATCTCTTAAAAAACAAAGTAGGAAGAGACAATTTGACAAATTTTATCTAATCTGGTGATAGGCAGACAGATTTCTCATTCCAGTCTTTCCTCCATGACTCCTATTTTTCTCATCTTTTTAGATCCCAGATTCTAGATTTTCAACTGGTGAAAAATGATCAGTAATTAGGCAAGAGATGGGTGAGGAGTAAGATGTGCTACTATCCACAATATAGATGTTTTCAAAGGGAAAAACTCACTTGTTTCCTTGGCTTTTGAGGTCTAGATATAGTGAAGCCAATGCTCTAAATCTATGCTATGGCTAATTTCTAGGAATCTCCAGGCAGGCAGTTTGCATTCTCAAAGTCACCTCTGGCTCTAAGCCTCTAGTCTTTATTTCTTCATGGCAATGTATTGGCTTAGATGTCATATTTAGGCCCCTTTCCTGTTTGCTGTCACTTGTACACACACACACACACACACACACACACACACACACACACACACACACAACACACAACAAATACACACAAAACACGCACAACATACACACAAAACACAACATATATACACATGCACACACACATACACACCACACACACACACCACTTCCATCAGGTAGTTTGCACAGGACACAGGAGTAGACTTGGCTGAAGGTTTGGGGGAAAGGCATGGAAATGGTGATTTTTCTCAAGGAAGTTTTCTAACGAGATCCCCACCTCTAACCCCATACAAAAGTAAACTCAGAATGGATCAAAGACCTCAGTGTAAGACCTGAAGCCTTGAAGCTGCTGGAGGAAAACACTTCAGAACCTGGCAGAGGCAGGGACCTTCTAAAACGACTGCAAAGCGCAGGGGTTTAATCGCAAGAACTGTATGAGAAAACAAAACCTTCTGCACAGCAAAGGAAATAATTATTAGTGAAAAGACAACCCGAAGAATGGGAGAAAAATCCTTTCCCACTGTAAATACGACAGGCTGTTAGTATCTAGGATATATAAATAACTGAAAATAAAATGCCATAAATTGAGATCATTTAACCAATAAATCGATGAGTGAACCAAATATACGCTCCTCAAAACCCAGAAAAACTATTCAATATCTGTAGCCACCAGGAAAATGCAGATTAAAACTGCTTTGAGACTCTAACTCACCCTAGTCAGGATGTCTACCATCAGGAAAACAAAGACCAACAGATGCTGGCAAGGATGTGGAGAAAGGGGAGCCATTGTATATCGCTGGTGGGAGTGTGGACTGGTGTGGCCACTATAGAAATCTGTGTGAACTCCTCTTAAACAACTAAAAGCTGAACAACTGTCATATGCCACTCCTGGGTGTATATCCAAAGGAATCTAAAGTCAGCATAACACAAAGATACCTGTACATCCATGCTTATTGCTGCCCTGTTCATAATAGCCAAGACATAGAAACAGCCTAGATGCCCACCAACAGATCAGTGAATGAAGAAAACGTGAGGGCTGTGTGTGTGTGTGTGTGTGTGTGTGTGTGTGTGTGTGTGTGTGTGTTTTACTCAGCCATAGAGAATGAAATCACGCACGCAGAAAAAAAATGGATGATACCGAAAATCAACATGTTAAGTGAAACAAGCCAGACACGGAAAGACAAGTTTTGCACATTTTTCTTCTTCTCATAGGCAGCATCTGGATTAAAAACGTGTTTGACGTGGAAGTAGAAGAGGGACTGTGTGGAGGGAAGAGGAGGGAGGCTAGAGCTGGGAAACTAGATTTTTAACAGGCTTGAAAGGCTCTCAGAGTGGACTCTTCCCTCATGATCAGCAGCCTGTGAAACCAGGAAATGAAGCTGCAGGGTTCTGGCTGCTGGTCAAAAGGATGCGATCTGAGTCATATTCCTGGGTGGAGACGTAACATTCTGAACTGCCTGAAAGTTCATTAATAGATAACATCTAAACCTTATAAAATAACTGTCTATCAAGACCTGCTGATAGAGGACAGTGATATAGCATTGTCCTGTCCCTTAAGATTTAATCCAAATGGACCTGTCAATCTCTTGGGAAGGAAAATGCCTCTCAGGAAAAGCTGTCTGTTCTAAACAATCCTAAAATGTAGATCTGCCCAGTGGTGCCCTTGGCCCTGTCCACTCACCTCCAGAGTGCTCCACTTCTTACTGTGATAAATTCTAGGTATCTTCTGCACTGTGTTTTGTGCGTCTCTGCAGAATTATTTTGATGGCATTCACAAGGATGGGAAGTGGGAAGAGTCCAGAGCAAGACCCAGGTGACAGTAATGGGGTGGGGCAAATGTGGCATTATTCCTGTCATGTGCAGAATCTAGATTTAACTCCAA